AATGTGTCACGCAGGGAATTATTGGAAGGCAGATCATCATGTTTCATATTGTATACGATGTCAAGCCACTTGTTGTAGAAGGCCTCAAGTTGGTCATCTCCATAGTAGTTGAACATATACAAATGATGGGCATTGTAGAGAACTTCAGTGTGGTCAGGTGACTTGAAGCTAATCAATACCATTGCAAATAGTTCTCGTCCCTTGATGAAGTCCCCACTCCTCCCATACAATTGGTTCTTCATGGACATGTCATACTTCACTTGCATGGACTTGTCCCCAGCATTGTCAATGACTTTCCTCAAGGCGTTGGAGAGCTTGGCATCAATGGATTGGAATCTCACATCAGGAGCTTTGGCCAGCGCCTCCAAGTCAGGTTGATCTGCAAGACACGGAGCTAACCACGCCTTCCAATCTTCATAGTTTCGATCTCCACTTGCAACGCAAACTTCATGAACGACACTTCCCTTCCAGGATGAAAGTTCAGTGGTCTTAGGCCAGGGTTGGAGGCTGATCTTTTCGGCTTCTCTTAGAGATACGGATGACTTGGATTTATCCCTCTCAAGGTTCTCCAACTCCTTGACATTGGTGTTGTACTCGTTCCTGAGCTTCTCGAAGGCTTCAGCTTCTGCTCGGTATTCCTGCTCTTCATCGTTGGCACGATCTTCAGCTTGAGAGAAATTGTTCTTATAGTAATCTTTACGATCTTCCATCTTCTTCAACTCATCTTGAAGATTTCGAACTTCAGCGTTCCTCTCTTGCTTCATCTCGTCCAACTCTGCTTTCAGTTTGGCACACTTCTCTTCACATTCATTCCGAGGCATGGCATTACTGGGGTACCCATGTAATGTAGTCGGTCTATTCATTAATGAAGAAGAATGAGCTTGGTTTTCCAACTTCAGGGCAGCAATGGTGCTCGACATCTCTTCTATCTCAGCGTAACGCTCATTGGCCAATTGATGCATCTCGGTCAAATGGCTTTCAGGAATGGAATAGTCAGTCGCACCTTTGATCACGAGTCTTCTGTCGTTCAACATCTTGATGGACTTACCTGCATCCCTGTGAGCACGCTCAAGAGAGTCCTTTTGGGCTTCAAGTTCAGTATGAAGGCGAGCAATAGCTGTGTCCCTGTCATTGATTTCATTGTGCAAACTGTCGAACAAGTTACTCGTCACATTCGGATTGTTGCTCATGTGATCGATCTTGTTCAGAGCATCTTGATATTTCTTACCAGTTTCATCAAAGTTTCGCTGGAAGACTTTGAGCAGGTCCTCAGTGTCAATGAGTTCAAATCTGTTCTGCAAGTACAACTTGTCAACTTCGGCCTTGGATTCTTTCAAGCTGTCACGTTCACGCACGGCTTGCATGTACATCTCATAGAGAGGTCCTCCATGCGGTGATCTGCTTGGTGACGATCTTCTGGCTTGTTGACAGGAAAGTTCATGATACTGATTCTTCGATTCAGTCAGTTGCTGTTGCATTCGATCTAAAAGACTTTGTTTCATGTGTAGTTCAGAACGTAGTCCCATGATCCTCATGTCCCGCATGCCACCTGATTCAGCTAGAGATTCTTCAGAAACCCTGTTCTCAGAAATCGCTAGTCGAGATTGTAAGTTCTCACTGTGGATCACCTGCAATCGAAGTTGCGATTCTTCCAAAGCTAAGTGATGTTCACATTCTGCATAACGGTCATGTTCAGATCTTATGTTACTACGGAACTCCTTCATGATCTCGTCCCTCTTCATGTCAGCAGCATCGAGCTCAGTTTCCAGTCGCCTGACGTTCATGGCCATGGTGTGCTTCATCGTCTGGTTCTGATTAGCAACCTCGAGCATCTCGATCTGTAAAGCACATGTCTGGTCGTTAGCATAGCCGACCGCTAGAGCTTCCTGCTTGGCATTCATCTCTGCGTTTTCCAGTTCCAGTCTGAGTTGATTGATGTGAGCATTCGCATCAGCGCCCACATGCACCATAATTGCGTTTGCTTGTCCCATTTGTTCATCGAATTCCGAACGTAGTCGTGAATATTTGAATTCCAAATGAGATGCAGCTTCATTCGACATAGTCTGATACCTTTCCAACTCTTCGATCCTGTAGGTCGCACCTTCATCTTCCTGTTGTGCAGCCTGTAACTCGAAGTTCAGCATCTGGAGTTGTTCGGTCATCGACATCATCTCTTGATGAGTGGTGCTTTCCAGGAAATTAAATTGTTGATAGGCATATGCTGTCGTCTCACTCAATCTTGCCTGAAGTACAGATTCTTCTTCAGTGGCCCTTTCCAGTGATGTTTTGTACTCAGTTAATTCACTCTGATAGGCAGTGAAGATGTCGCTACCACTTGACGGGGCATTCACTTGCTGATAAGATCCTGTCCCTGATGGAGTAGCGTCCTGAATCGGTGAAGGCGGATTCGACGACGTAGTCTTTGCCTTAGTCCTTGGAGTCATCGGAGGCGACAATTGTCGTGCAGATGATCTTCTCTTTCCAGGTGTGCTGTCCCTATCTTCAATTGCTTGCATTGTCGAAATTTGTCTCCCTCTAGGAGCAACCAGATGTCGCCTGGGTTGGCTTGTTCTCAGTTCTGAGGCATCGCTTCCACCAGTGTCGATACTCTGTGAAGAATTTGACTGCGTGCCGGCAGCTGGTGCAACGGCATGTCCAGAGAAAGAAAATGCATTATCGCTGCTATCCTGTTCAGTCATCTGTAAGGCCCGCGGCTACCCGCTCGTAGGCTCCGTAGGAGTCCTACGGCTGATAACCTGCGAATCGGGGATTGTTGGCCCGATTATGTTCCTGTAATTGATGTTGATTCTTGCAGTTGCAATGATGACCTCACGAGGGCGGCAGCTTCCGCATGGCTTTCATTTTCCCTGTAGCTGCAGTATGTCTTGAGCCGAAGAGGCCAATGTCGGAGTGCCCCTTTGACGATGGATCCTAGAGTGTATGATTATGCATATATACAGTGATCCGTAGCCTACACTCTATTCGCATAGATAGATAGATAGATAGATAGATAGATAGATAGATAGATAGATAGATAGATAGATAGATAGATAGAACGAACAGATAGATAGATAGAACGAACAGATAGATAGATAGAACGAACAGATAGATAGATAGAACGAACAGATAGATAGATAGAACGAACAGATAGATAGATAGAACGAACAGATAGATAGATAGAACGAACAGATAGATAGAAGAACGAACAGATAGATAGAACGAACAGATAGATAGAACGAACAGATAGATAGAACGAACAGATAGATAGAACGAACAGATAGATAGAACGAACAGATAGATAGAACGAACAGATAGATAGAACGAACAGATAGATAGAACGAACAGATAGATAGAACGAACAGATAGATAGAACGAACAGATAGATAGAACGAACAGATAGATAGAACGAACAGATAGATAGAACGAACAGATAGATAGAACGAACAGATAGATAGAACGAACAGACAGATAGAACGAACAGATAGATAGATACGAACAGATAGATAGAACGAACAGATAGATAGAACGAACAGATAGATAGAACGAACAGATAGATAGAAAGAACAGATAGATAGAACGAACAGATAGATAGAACGAACAGATAGATAGAACGAACAGATAGATAGAACGAACAGATAGATAGAACGAACAGATAGATAGAACGAACAGATAGATAGAACGAACAGATAGATAGAACGAACAGATAGATAGAACGAACAGATAGATAGAACGAACAGATAGATAGAACGAACAGATAGAACGAACAGATAGAAAGAACAGATAGAACGAACAGATAGAAAGAACAGATAGAAAGAACAGATAGATATAACAGATAGATGGAACAGGTAGAAAGAACAGATAGATAGAACAGATAGATAGAACAGATAGATAGAACAGATAGATAGAACATATAGATAGAACAGATAGATAGAACAGATAGGATAGGATAGGATAGGATAGGATAGGATAGGAAAGATAGATAGATAGGAAAGATAGATAGATAGGAAAGGATAGGATAGGATAGGAAAGATAGATAGATAGGAAAGGATAGGATAGGATAGGAAAGATAGATAGATAGGAAAGGATAGGATAGGATAGGATAGGATAGGATAGGAAAGATAGATAGATAGGATAGGATAGGATAGGAAAGATAGATAGATAGGAAAGGATAGGATAGGATAGGATAGGATAGGATAGGAAAGATAGATAGATGTCTATATTCGTCTATATTCATCCAACGGCCATGTTCCCTGCTGCTGAGTGGAAAATATCGTTGGTGAACGTTCCACTCTGGCAATCTACTCGCTCGCAGTTCCCATGGCATTTCCTGCGAGCCATGCCATGGGGATGTCCCATTGCCAAGTTAGAGCCAACTCGAGCCATCTCGAGCCTATGCAACGTAATGGTATTGAATACCCTCCGGTAACCAGACGTGGCAATTGAAATCCACCACTTCTAGATGATTGAAACCTCCTTCTAAGATCTCTCATTGGAAAAAAAAACATTTTTGATAGATAATAAAATCATCGAACTAAATGGGCCATCTATACCGTAGCTATGTCAAAATACCACAGGGTTTTTTTTCTGGTGGTTTCCTAAAGTGGTGCTACCCCAAGTCACCATGCTTTCAAATACTATGTCATGGTCATTCATGACGACTGGATGATTTGGGATATCCCGATGACTTCGGAAAGCCCCGTATCATTCACCATCTCCATGAAATATCCCAATATCGTTCACCCATACTAAGTCATGGTCATCCTTTACCCTCTGGTAATTTGTTAGACTTTGCTATTGAAAATGGCCATAGAAAGAGTGAGTTGTCCTATTAATAGCATGGTGATTTTCCAATTTTTTTTGTATGTTTACCAGAGGGTAATATGTATAACTAACAGTTAATTGATGGTTGAATAATGGGAGTATATCTCCAATGATTACCAATGGTTGAACAGTGGTTTGAATAGTACATCTACCATAGGGTACCCCATGAAAGATCCCGT